TTTTTTGAGAGGAGTCTCACTCCATCGCCCAGGCTCATGTGCAGTGGTGCAATCTTGGCTCACTTCAACCTCCACCTCCCAGGTTCAAGCGATTCTCACACTTCAGCCTCCTGAGTAGCTGGGATTACAGGCAGGTGCCACCACACCTGCTAATTTTTGTATTTTTAGTAAAGACGGGGTTTCACCATGTTGGCCAGGCTGGTCTCAAACTCCTGACCTTAAGTGATCCACCTGCCTCAGCCTCCCAAAGTGGTGGGATTACAGGCGTGAGTCACTGCACCCAGCCAGGATATCTTATTAACATCAAAACATTTCAAAGGCCGCATACATATACACACTCACACCGTATCATCATCATCACCATCATCCCTATCACCACCAACATCATCTTTATGATCTTCATCCTCCTCATCACAGTCAACATGGAACTGAAACATGTTCCAGATATAAGGCTAAATGCTTTACTAATAATCTTTTAGTTGCCATAGCCATGTATAAGGCACATATCAATTAGTTATAATTTTATAACCCATTTGTTAAAGAAATAAATGCTCTGTGTTCAGTAAAACTTTAAAATAAGTTTTCTTTCATTTATTCACAATAGTGTCTCATACATTTTTTAAATGGTAGAATGTATATATTCAAGTTATATAATTTATCCCACCTACAGACTCTACTGAGTGAACATATAAATTGTGGATTCTCCTTACAATAAACTGTCATTTTTTTCCCTCAACTTCATTCCACTTTCAGTGGGTCTAAAAACCTTAAGTTGAGATTCAGTGCTTTACATAAGACATAAGAGAAAAACAGCAGCTATCCTGTGCCAGGTACTAGTTTCCACATTACAAATATCTCATTTAAACTATGTAACAACTCAGTGGAATAGGTACTATTATAATTTTACAGATGAGGACACAAATACTCGAACAGATAAAGTAATTCATTCAGCATCAAACAAACAGTCAATATCAGAGTCTGAACTCAACCACTCACACCAAATGCTGTGCTCTTTGACCATGCCAAAGAAACTATGGTCTCCTATATGGCCCCGTACAGCCGAGCAGATTGTGTATTGCATAACTTTAGGGGGTAAAATTCACACTGTTGTCATCAGACTTCTCTGTTCTCAGCAGATGGTAATAAATCATCTTGAAGAGAGTATATTTTTCTTATTTAAATAATAATAGCAATAGTTCATAAATAGTCTCTTATTTCTTTGTTATGGGAAAATTTCCACCTTCAAAGAAACCAATTTCACATAGTGGTTTTAACTGCCAGAAAATTTTCCTCCAAAGGCAAAATCTAGCGCTTTGTACCTACGATTAGAATTTCTATATCTGCCCTATTCTGCCTCAAAGAATAAGTGCTAGCCCATAAGTTGGTGATTCTCAAACTCTAATGTCCTTAAAAATCTACCGGAGGAACTGTTAAGAATCTCACACCTGAAATTATGATTGCATATGTCTGCTGTGAGAAACAGGAAGCTGCATATTTAGCAGACATTGTAAGTGATCCCTGGGAAAAAAAAAATTGCCAGACAGCTATTACGCCTCCTCAACCTCTTATGCATGTCTCAGTCTCTGTTCTCAATTTAAGATTTCTCAAATCTAAGAAGACACAATACAGCCTTAAGTACTCAGTTGCATCCCCTGAAACTTATTATTAGGAGAGGAACATGCATTTAAGAAAGTAAATTCAGAATAACCCCACAGTCCTCCTGTACATTCATGATGGCATTTGATTGGTACCATTTCTTAGGACTTTATCTATTATACCAAGTATGGAAGAGAATAGATACAAATAACACTTTCAAAATTAGCACTTATTCTTATATTTCAGAGGGCTCCCAAATACAAATGTGAGAAGGGGTTGGCATGTTATTAAAAGCCAAGCAAAGTCATTTATATCTATGTATTATACAAATATCTTTTATATAAATATCTTGAAGACATTATTTAGGATAGGAGTTACTCCTAAATAGGGGAAAGCCAAGGTGATCAAGAGAGATTAGCAGAGGAGGTGAGTTTTATCTATAACAGTAATACTTTGTTTCTTAAGCTAGCATATGAGGAAATGGTAAATTATAATGGGGCTTCATTACAGTAGAAAAATGTCTCTATAGTTCTCAATATATAAAATCATACAATCCTTAAATTTTAAATATTCAAAATTATTTCTACAATTAACCATTATACATTTACAATTTCATATTATTTGAAAATAAAAATTCATGTTTCAACTAAATTTTCTAAATATGTAGTAATACCTTTAATATTGGAAGAATTTCTGTGATCCCTTTTGGAGCTCCAGGGAATTCATCAGTCCCTTTTGTTAAAGGTACGTCTGGAAAAGAAAGAAAGGAGGAAGGGAATGAACGATGGAGGGGAAGGAAGAGAAGGAGATTTGAAACAAAGGAAAAGTAGGAAGAGGAAGAGCACAGAGCAAGAGCAAGGAAGAAACAAAGGAAAAGAAAGAAGGACCAGAGGAATAAAAAGGAAGAAAGAGAAAAATGGAAATATAGCAGTGAATCATAATCATAAAAAACTTTATATTTAATTACTTTTTAATTACCCATGATCTTAGAAATGATTCAACAGTAGAATTTGACTAAACACCAAATTGTTTATTCCATGTAATTAAATTTTTTATTCTATAAGGTAATTTAAAAGCATCTTCTGCTTGAACCCAGGAGGCGGAGGTTGCAGTGAGCCAAGGTCGCGCCACTGCACTCCAGCCTCGCGCCTGGTGATGGAGTAGTGACGGAGTGAGACCCTGCCTCAAAAAAAAAAAAAAAAAAGCATTTTCTAATGTAAGACACCAAATCAAATATTACAAGTCAATATCATCTTTCTCTATATTCTATAACATCCAATTAAAATCTTTCAGAGGCTAAGCACAGTGGCTCACACCTGTAATCCTAGCCCTTTAGGAGGCCAAGGTGAGTAGATCACCTGAGGTCAGGAGTTCAAGTTCACCATGTTTCATCTGACCAACATGGTGAAGCCCTCTCTACTAAAAATACAAAAATTAGCCTGGCATGGTGGTACGTGCCTGTAATCCCAGCTACTGAGGGGCACTGAGGTAGGAGAATTGCTTGAACCCAGGAGGCGGAGGTTGCAGTGAGCCGAAATTGCACCACTGCACCCCAGCCTGGGTGACAGAGCGAGACTCCATCTCAAAAAATAAATAAATAAATAAGCTTTCAGAAAATAACAGCCTAGGACCCTTATCAATTTAGACAAATATCAGAGAAGACTTGTACTTTATGTTTTATGTGGCAATAGGTGCTAAGAATAACATTCTTAGAAGTTATAAGAATTTATATATCTAAATGGGACAACCCCTTATTATATAAACATAGAAGTTTTCAAATTTATAAATGGATTATGCTCCAATATTGATTAGTTCTTCAGAAATGAAACATTTTAACAAAGCATCAATAACTTAAATTTTATTTAGCCCAATTATAATGGTATAAAACAATAATCTCCCCCACAGTAACTAGTAAATAAAATAACATTAAGTAAGAAATAGACTTTATTTTATTTTATTTTTTTGAGACAGAGTCTCACTCTGTCTCAGGCTAGAGTGTAGTGGTGCGACCTCGGTTCACTGTAACCTCCGCCTCCCAGGTTCAGGTGATTCTCCTGCCTCAGCCTCCTGAGCAGCTAGGATTATAGGCCCATGCCACCATGCCTGGCTAATTTTTATATTTTTAGTAGAGATGGGGTTTCACCATTGTTAGCCAGGCTGGTCTTGAACTCCCGACCTCAAGTGATCTGCCTGGCTCAGCCTCCCAAAGTGCTGGGATTACAGGCGTGAGCCACTGTGCCCAGCCAGAAATAAACATTTTTAAAAAGTAATCAGTAATGGATAATGTAGAAAAAATATCTGGGCTAAGGAAAACCTGAAATATATATATATATATATTTTTTTTAATCTACAAGCTAAGAAGATGGTGAAAAATAAATAAATACAGGGTCAGGATCTTGGGAAGGGAGTGTGAAAAAAACACAAACTATTTTTCCCTGCTCTCATGCCACAATAATCAACAGATTTCTGTGACCATATGTGGAGTTGGGGGGTCCCCACATACCAAACATGCAATCAGTTCTGCAGTGGACACCAGTTGGGTGTTCTCCAACCCTGTTTACTTCCAACACTATCTTGCAGATAGAGTCAGATCACACGGATGGAGGACTCAGACCCATAAGACCCCGCTCTCTGCTTCCAATGCTGGCATAAGCCCCAGCTTGTTTTACCTGTGTTCTTAACCAATTGGCTACAAACTAGTTCTCATGATCCCCTCCCTGGGTCTGATTAATTGCAAGAGTGGCTCACAGAACTCAGGGAAACAGTTATGTTTACCATTTTATCATAAAGCTTATTACAAAGGATACAGATAAAGAGATACATAGCACAAGGTATAAAGAAAGGGGCATGGAGCTTCCATGCCCTCCCAGGACCACCACCCTACAGGAACAGTCAAATGCTCAGCTATCCAGAAGTTCTCTGTACCCTGTCCTCATGAACCTTTTATGGAGACTTCTTTAGATATGCATAATTGATGGATGTACAGCTGTGTAGAAAGGCGATTGGACAAAAAGGGTATGATCTAGTACCGTTTAGAAACCCATTGCTATGATTTGAATATCTGCCTCGTCCAAACTCATGTTGAAATTTAATCCCCAATGTGGCAGTATTGAGAGATAGATCCCATAAGATATGACTGGGTCATGAAGGCTCTGTTCACATAAATAGGTTAACTCATTCATAGGCTAATGGATTAATAGGTTAGCGGATTGATGAATTATCATGGGAATGGGACTGGTGACTTTATAAAAAGAGGAAGAGGCCAGGCACAGTGGCTCATGCCTGTAATGCCAGCACTTTGGGAGGCTGAGGCAGACGGATTACCTGAGGTCAGGAGTTCAAGACCAGCCTGGCCAACATGGTGAAACCCCATCTCTACTAAACATACAAAAAATTAGCTGGGTATGGTGGCTCACGCCTGTAATCCCAGCTACTCAGGAGGCTGAGGTGAGAGAATAGCTTGAACCCAGGAGGCAGAGGCTGCAGTGAGCCGAGATCGAGCTATCGCACTTCAGCTTGGGCAACAGGGCGAGACTCTGTCTAAAGAAAAGAAAAAGATGAGGAAGAGAGACCTAAGCTAGTATGTTCAGCCCCCTATCACTGATGCTCTGCACCACCTCAGGACATTGCAGAAAGTCTCCATGAGCAAGAAGGCCCTCACCAGATGCAGCCCCTAGACTTTGCACTTCTCAGCCTCCACAATTGTAAGAAATAAAGTCTTTTTCTTTATAAATTACCCAGTGTGGGTATTCTGTTATAAGTAACAGAAAATGGACTCAGATACCCAGCAAGGCCTGTGTGTTCAGATTCTTCTTGGCCTGTCTGTGCCACATTCCTTCCTCCTGGGTATGGGGCAGGACCCCTCTGAAATGAGTCTTATGTCCTACAATCAGACAAGGTAGGTCAGAGAATTTCTTTATGATCAGCTCCAAGTCAGAGAGAGAGAGTATATTTTCAGTTTCTATGGCCATCCTTGGAGAGAAAAAGCAGCAGATGAAAGAAGGAAAGTAGAAGGTCAGAGGGAGAGAGAGAGATTGTTTCCTGAGGCCTGCTTCGGAGGCCTAAAGTGCCCCAACATTACAACAAAAGACTCTCTTTCACTTTTATTGCTCCAAAGCTGTTCTGAAACTACTTCAGGAACCAAGGACAAAAAGCCAAATTCGTTAACAAAAGGTAGCTTATTGTTTTAGTCACTTAGGAAATAACAAGAACTATGGGAGTCATAAGCCAGGAACTGTAGACAAAAGTAATTATATATGTTTTATATGTATGTTTTATATATGTATATGTATATAACATATAAAATATATGTGTTCATTGATGGTTTATGTTATTGGGAAGCTTTCCAGTCAACAGTAGGCTATTAGAGTAAGGTTTAGAGGAGCCAAAACACGCATTTAGGGTCAGTGCCCCTAACCCTCATGTTGTTCAAGGGTCAACTGAATATATATCATATATCATAGTATCACAGAGTCACACCTGAATCTTGGAAAGGGAGGCCATTAGAGCTACTTTTCTCACTGGGGTTTATGTCAATTTTGGAGAAAGAAACTGAGAAACTGAGTGATACTTCTGATAGCCTTGAAAGAAAAGCAACAGGGATTAGTATCCAGGGCCCACCAAGGATGAGAAGCAAAAGAGACTGCATCCTAGAAGTTAGGGTAAACTGAAAATAGATATTCAAAGAGAAAGCATTTCAGATTCAAAATATTGTAATCCCTCAAACTGGAATAATGGGATCCTACAGTATTAGTGCCTTCATGTATCTAGTAAAAGCAAGCATAAATCTTCCCTAGAAAAAGAAAACATCATCCAAAGCCTAAATCATTCCTACAAAACATTTAGCAATAATAATGTCCATTACACACTCAAAAATAACCAGACTAGCCAAATAGTTGATGAGGTAAATTCTTCATTGAAGACATCAGTATAATAAATGCAAAAGGAATGAGAGAAGTTAGGAGTCCCTCCTGGCTTTTATCCCCAGTCTCCTATCAGTCCTCCACCAATGACAGATAAAAGTTGTAGAAATACCCCAATCTCCCAACTCTCTCAGACACGTTCTTATGGTCTCCTAGAGGTCCCTCATGGGAGTAGGCCCTGAACCCACAAGAGCAGCCTTCTCATTAACTTACTGTGCCTTACGTGGAGCTTCCTTTCTTCCCCTGTCTCACTTCTCCACTCCTCCACTGTGCTTCCCTGGATAAGGTCCCAAATAAACTACTTCACTCAAATCATTGTCTCAGAATCTGCTTCTGGGGAACCAGCCTAGGAAAAAACCCAAGCTGAGAACACCTGAACTCACTGATAAATCTTTAGAGCACAAAAAGTGAGACAACTAGGCATTGTGTGCTTCCTGATTCAATGCAAGAGAGTAAATAGCACTACCTATGAAGTATTGTTGCTGAAAAATAAGACAATTGGCAAGAACTCTTGTTAACAAAGTATCACCAGAATCTAAGTAAGCATCCACATATAACTACCAGGTAAGAAGCAAGTTAACCAACATCACATGGAGGGAAATAGTCAAATCCAGAATATGAAAAATCCCACAGGATAGTGACTCAGTTTCTTCAAAAGATAAATATCTTAAAAGAAGACTATGAAGGAAAGGAACCATTAGAGATTAGTGACATTTAAGAAACACGTCAAGAAAATACAATGTATGGGCCTTGTTTGGATTCTGATTGGAACAAACCAACTTTAAAAGATATTTTTTAATACAATCAGGAACATGGGACGTATTCCCCATTTTGTAAGGTATAATAATAATGGCACTGTGGTTTTATGTTAAAAAAAAAAATTCTTATCTGTTAGAAAGTTGGAGCTGGGCACGGTGGCTCATGCCTGTAATCCCAGCACTTTGGGAAGCCAAGGTGAGTGGATCACGAGGTCAAGAGATCAAGACCATCCTGGCCAACATAGCAAAACCCCCTCTCCACTAAAATACAAAAATTAGCTGGGCATGGTGGTGTGTGCCTGTAGTCCAAGCTACTGGGAGGCTGAGGCAGGAGAATTGCTTGAACCCGGGAGGCGGAGGTTGCAGTGAGCCAAAATCGCACCATTGCACTCCAGCCTGGCGCCTGGCAACAGAGTGAGATTGTCTCAAAAAAAAAAAAAAAAACTTGGATACACACACACATATACATGATGGGGTGGTATTTGCTGGAAAAATGACACGTCTGCTTTAAAATACTTGGGGAGGGAGAAATGTTGCAGGGAGAGAAGAAATAAGATTGAAAAGATGTTGGTAATTATGGATGCTGGATGATGCATACATGGTGTTTTTTTTTTTCTATATATATTTAAAGCTCTATAATAAAAGTTTTAAAAAGAAAAAAAAAAAAAAAAAGCATTTTAAGCCAGGACATGTCAGAAATATGGCCTGAGGTCACTGAATGTGTTAGATGGCCAGAGACTTTTAACTGATGCTTGTCAAACTTTGATATATATCAAATTCACCTGGGAAGCTATTTAAAACTAAAAAGGTCCAGGCTAGCTAAAGTAGGACAGAGCCTGTGCCTTGCATTTTTAACAAGCCTTCAGGAAATACTGATAACAATCAAAATTTGAGAACCATGGCTCTAAAACTCCATCTGCAAAGCCACAGGAGGACAGGAGGAGCCAGATTAGTGAATCTCCCGGTAAACAATCACCTTATTACAAAGTCCTCCAAATGTCATACATGCTCTGTAAGAGGGGTGAAATAGCAAAGTAAACACCCGCCATAGACTCTTCCACATCATTCCCCACCCCATGAAATATAGTACAGGGCTGCAACCAGAGGCAGAACAAAGAACAAGGAGGTCACAGCAGAAGGCCATCCTTTGAGAGAAGACATCTCCTGAATGGAGAAGAGAATAATGAAGACGAGAAAGAGGTTGAGACAGGAAGAATGGGGAGTTGGGGGCTAGGAAATGAGAGCAAAAAGAGGAAGATGATAAAGATAAGAAGAAAAAGAGAAAGTAGAGGAGAAATAGAATAAATGAAGCAAGAATTTTAAGAGGAAGGAATTAGCAGAAAGAAGATAAAAAAGGAGATAGAAAGTAGAATGACACTGATCCACTCAACAGATACTTATCTGATCTCCTACTCTGTGTCAGACAATGTGGTGGGTACCAAGAAGATGGCAGTGACCAAAACATAGTCTTCCTTCAAGCATTCACTCTTATGGGAAATGGAAGGGGAGGAAAAACAAAAGAATATAAAAGAGGGGAGAGGTGGCCAGGCGTGGTGGCTCACACCTGTAATCCCAGCCCTTTGGGAGACTGAGACAGGCAGATCACTTGAGGTCAGTAGTTTGAGACCAGTGTGGCCAACATGGTGAAACC